CTGGCCTCGAGTGAGCCTCCTGCCTCGGCCTCCCATAGTGTTGGGATTATAGGCATGAGCCACTGCACCCGGCTAATTTTTTCCATATATATTAGCTGGCCAATTAATATATTTCTATTTTAAGTAGAGACGGGGTCTCGCTCTTGCTCTGGCTGGCCTCGACCTCCTGACCTCGAGCGATCCTCCCGCCTCGGCCTCCCTCCTAAGTAGCTGGGACGACAGGCGTGCGCCACCACGCCCGGCTCATGTTTTCTACATATTTTTAGTTGTCCCACTCATTTATTTTCTATTTTTTTTAGTAGAGACGGGGTCTCGCTCTTGCTCAGGCTGGCCTCCAACTCCCGGCCTCCATTGAGCGATCCTCCCTCCTCGGCCTCCCGGAGTGCCGGGATGACAGGCCTGAGCCTCCCCTGCGCCCGGCCCGGGGCGACTGTTTCAGCCGGGACCCGGGGCGGCCCCGGCTTTGGGGCCGAGGACGCAAGAGAGACGCCACCCATTCCCGGCCACGGCGGCTTCCCCGGTCAAGCACGCCGTGGAGACACGAGCGACGCACACACAGGGGTTTATTTCGGGGCCGCGCGGGCGGAGGCATCCGGAAGGGGCCCGCTCGGGTCGCCCCGGGCCCGAGCCCTCTGCTCTTCCCGCTCGGTGACCCTCTCGCGGAGCCACCGGGGCCCCGGCGGTCACGTGAAGAAGTACAGCATCTCCTCCTGGGCCTTGTCCAGCAGGTCGTGCTCCGAGGCCGCCTTCGTCTTGACGGCCGGAGGCCGGGCGCGGCACAGCAGCTTCCGGCCCCTCTGCGGGGACAGGGGGACAAGGGTCCGCTCGGCCGCTGTCCCCTCCGCCCGGGCCCTGGGTCCCCCTGAGTGACCGGGGGGCCCCGTCCAAGACTGGCCACCTGTCAGCTGCTGTCGCCTGGGCCGGGCCGGGCCGGACGTGGGGGGGACGGGCGGGGGGTCCCCGGGAGTGGGGTGACGGGGACAGAGACGGGACGCAGGGTGGGAAGGACCGTCTGGCCAGGAGAGACGGCCCCGGCCTCGCTGGGCTGGTCTGCCGTCGTTTTCGGGGGGGCACTGGGGCCGGGGTGGGGCGTTGGGGACAGAAAGGGAGGTTGATGTCGGGGGGTGTCCCCATCACTTGGGAGTGGCTCGGCCTGGGGTCTGCTTGGGGCGGAGGTGGAGAATGGGGGGGACCCGGGGCTGAGCGTATGCAGGCAGGGTGGGGTGTGGTGGGGACTTGTGTGTTGGCGGAGAGATTTGGCAGAAGGGACGGGGACTTGTGTGTTGGCGGGGGCATCTGGCACAAGAGACGGGAACTTGTGTGTTGGCGGGGGGATGTGGCCAAAAGGATGGGGACTTGTGTGTTGGTGGGGGGATCTGGCAGAAGGGACGAGGACTTGTGTGTTGGCAGGGGGACCTGGCAGAAGGGACAGGGACTTATGTGTTGGCGGGGGCACCTGGCACAGGGTAGGGGGGTGGAGAAGAGGAGGACCCCCAGCTGAGCGCAACTAGCCAGGGTGGGCTTTGGTGGGGACTTGTCTGTTGGCAGGGGGACCTGGCACAAGGAACGGGGCGGCCTGGGAGTGGAGGTTGACAGGGAGGACCCAGGGCTGAGCACAGGTGGCCAGGGTGGGCTTTGGTGGGGACTTGTGTGTTGGCGGGGGGACCTGGCACAGGGGAGAGGAGGTGAAGAGGGGGG